AGGATACATCCGGGTGGTGTAAGCTGTGATGGCAATGCGGAAGCCCTTCCAGTCCTGAGTGGCATGAAGGATGCTGGGCGAAAAGATCACGGGCTGGCCATAGGTGTTCACCAGGTAGCCATCCACCATGGTGCCATCTGTTCTTCGACGTCTGGTGGGGACAGTTCCAGCCGGAGGACTCCCAGCCAGCCACATTTCTCCTCCAGTGAAGGATCCCAAACAGATCGTGGCATTGAGAGTGCCAGGTAAGTTATGATGATCCTTGCGGGGAACGGACTTGCCATTGAAGGTCACCATGATCGAGGTCCAGGTATGCTGGGGAAGGAGACGCTGTAAGTAGGCATTCAGCAGCTGAACGGTCTCCGGATATCTTGTCGTGGCCAAGGTACAGCCGCAGAAGCCACCGCGCGAGTAGCCGCCGAAAACAAGGTGGAAGCTGCTGGTCTTCCATTTGCTGTGGTCATCCTTCTTGAGGTTAACCCCGTAGTACATGCTCATGAGAATCTCCTCGCACATCTGAGAGGTGATCTGTCGGCTCATCCGGTAGGTCCGGGCGGTGTACTCCAGCTGGATCACCTCGGCGGAAGCAATCGTTATTTCATTTTCTTCAGAAACGGCCAGCTCCTGAATGTCAGTCACCACCTCGAACTCATCCATAACCATGGACCACGAAGATTGTTGTTCATGTAGAGGTTCGTCACGTTGATGAAGAAGGTGAATGTGGCGGTGAGGTACCGTTGCGTCTCGCCAATGTCGAGCAATTGCTTGAACCAATCGCCACGGGTAGTAGGCCGAGGCGCTCGTGAGCTGGCCTTGAATATTGGCATGTACCCCATGACCGCCTTGGCAAACCTTCGCTCTGAAGACCTTGTGGAACTTCTCAGAGGTGGTCTTGACCAACCACTTCTTTTGGATGAATTGTCCATGAGGATCTCGCATACCATAGTTGCAACCGTCGATACGGCAGTCCAGCCAGGGAATCATCTTCTTGTCCATGTAGGCGGCAAGATCCAACAAGGGTTGCTGTTTCCATCCAAAGCAGGGCCATGGCCACTCAAAGTAGATCTCCACGCTGTCGTCCTCGTCAAGGGTCTCCTTGATAAAGACATTGACATACCAGAGGAGCTTACGTTCCCTTCGTCTGGC